ATTTTTAATTAGTCTGATCTCCAATTAACTACTCAAAAGCTAGACAAGGAGCTGTGGCTCAAGTTGAATGAAAAAGCTAAGGGACAGAGCCCAGGCCCTAATTCAAACCCTAATACTAGCACCCAAAAAAAGAGGTGGAACTTACCATGAGCTGATGTGGATGGGGATGAGCTCTCCTGAGAGTGAGTTGTTATAAACTAAAGTCATCCCAGTTGCTTGTTTCTTGTGATGGTTCCAGTAGCCTTTTCCCTTTCCTCTCTATCAGATCTAAGGCAGCTAGTGGGACCTTTACTAGAACACTAGTGCCATCCTATGTGGCCAAGCTAAGCACCAAGACTAGAAGCCAAGTAACTTACCCTGTCTCAGGTACTTTGTTATAGCAACACCAAACAGACTAAGCCTGACCCTTCTTGTTGAACCGCCTAGTTTCAATTAATTAGATTGATTCAAGTGTTTTATTTTGTTTGAATGTAACTTTACTGACCACCTATAACATGGTGTGCTTTTGTTAGCAGAACTAAAGAAATAAAGAACCCCCTATTTCCCAGACCAAAGAGGAAGTGTGGAAGCATGCAGTTAGGCTTCTTGAAGGATTTTTTTTTTTTAGCTTTGGCTGCTCTCTGTATAATTAAGGGAACAGCTATTACAAGATATATGGCTCAGAAATGGAGCCTCCTTTCTCATTCCTGGCAAGTCATTTTAAGAAAGACCAGACACCGCTCTGCATAATAAATGTAAAGTGTCCAGTCTGTCTGGGCAGTCTAGTAAACCCCAGGCAGTGTCTCTTCTTATTCAGTTTGCGCCAGCTTTTTCCTCACTGTGAAATCCCAAGAATGCTGAGCAAGCAGCATGTGGCCTGGAGTCCAAACTCTGATAGGCGCACACACAAAAAATAAACAAAACAAAACAAAAATCAGAGCAAAAAGGGACAGAGGTGTGGCTTGGACAGGAGACTAACTGCCAGTGTTGATTCAAACCTGAGTACAGCCAAAAATAATTAAATAAATAAATAGCTCATTTGGACTTTTCCTTTTCCAGATATTATTTTCCTTGAGCAGTGGTGCAAGTGGTAGAATGCCAGCCTCTTGAGTGGAAAAAGCTAAGCAAGAGATCAGGGCTATGAATTCAAGCACCAGTTCTGGCACAGAAAAAGACTCAATGAGCATCTTTATCTTGTTAGAGGATTTATGAGAAAGAAGAAAATATTAAAACTTCACTTGTGTGCAAAAAAGTCAGCAGTTACCCATTACTTCCACCTGCTAGAGAAAGCAGTGGACTATAACCCTCCCATTTCTGTTGGTAAGATCTTTTGACTGCTTTGCCAATTGGCTTTGCCAATGCCAGGTCTTTGGGTGTTGAACAAAATGCTTACCACCTAGGCCGGGGCTCTGCCCAATGTGAGGGCAGCTTACACAAGCAGAAGCTAGATGCAGGAGAGTCCCTGAGTGGCAAGAATTAACACTTTCATTGTTGGACCCCTACATGGTCCAACAATGAAGAACTGGTAGGAGTATTTTAATTTTTAACAGTCATAGAGCCTGACTAGAATTTACAAGCAGATTATCTGCTGTGTCTTTCTTCTGTTTCCTCTTGTCTTTTGTTCTTTTCCTTCTAAACATAGTTTAGATTTAAAGCTGGAGATGAAACAAGGATTGTATGGTCTCTGGCAGATAATGAAACCAAGACCCTTGGGAGACAACAGATTAAAAAACACTAAATGGCTGGGTGTTGGTGGCTCATCCCTGTAATCCCAGCTACTCAGGAGGCTGATATCTAAGGATCTGGTTCAAAGCCAGCCCAAGTAGGAAAATCTGTGAGACTCTTATCTCCAATTAAGCACCAAAAAGCTGGAAATGGAGCTGGGGTTCAAGTGGTAAAACCCTAGCCTTAAACAGAAAAAGCTAAGGGACAGTACCCAGGCCCTTAGTTTGAGTCCCACTACTGGCAATAAAAAACAAAAGCGGGGCTGGGAAGTAGCTTAGTGGTAGAATGCTTGCCTAGCATGCATGAAGCCCTGGATTCCATTCCTCAGCACCCCAGAAACAGAGAAAGCCAGAAGTGGCGCTGTGGCTCAAGTGGTAGAGTGCTAGCCTTGAGCAAAAGAACCTCAGGGCCAGGGGCCAGGCCCTGAGTTCAAGCCCCAGGACTGGCAAAACAAAAAACAACAAAAAAGGAAAACAATGATGAGCCTGTGAAGTCAAGAAAAGCTGAGTTTGAATGCTGGTTCTGAAGCTGGGTACTTAGTTCAATCTTTCTGAAGTTCATTTCCTCCACCAGCACCTTCCTCAGAATCTTCTAGACATTAAATAGATATGCCTGTACAGTATCTAACTCATACATAGTAGGAAATAAGTTGCAGCTAAATAGATGAGAATCAAGGTCAGTTAATTAGTTGCAGACTTTTTTTTTTGGTCATGGGGCTTGAACTCTGGTCCTGGGCACTGTCCCTCAAGCTCTTCAGCTCACGCACTCTACCACTTGAACCACAGTGCACTTCTGGTTTTCTGGTGCTTTATTGGAGGTAAGAGTCTCACGGACTTTTCCTGCCTGGACTGGCTTTGAATCTCGATCCTCAGATCTCAGCCTCCTGAGTAGCTAGGATTACAGGCGTGAGTCACTGGTGCTTGGCTGCACTTTTTTTTTTTTTTAAGGCTGTAGTCTGTGTTTCCTAGGCTGTTCTTGAATTCTTGGACTCAAATGATCCACCCACCTTGCTATTCTAAGTAGCTGGGACTACAGGCATGCCATGCCTAGCAGAACTAATATCTTGAATTTAGATCTACCTCCTGCATTCATACTGGCATGGAGTACTATAGTCAACACAACTTCAGGGTTCTTAACTGAACTCCTAGAAGAAGCATAAGAGCAATTTCCCCTGAGCACTGGGTGGAGTGGGGATAGAGCAGTGACTTCCATTTCAGGTTCTGGGGTAGGATCCCTTTTAGGATCTGACCCGAAAACGTTAAGATTTAGACAAGATTTGCCTTATCTGACTTCCAAGGAGTTATTTATTAATTTGTTTACTAATTACTGATTGCAAACTCATTCTAAGAAAAGTACAAGGCCCCAGGGATGATAGTCCACTAAAAACAGTGCTTTTCAAACTCTGCATCCTGACCTGTTAATGCAATATGAAATCACAGTCAGAACTGGAAAAAGAGAGAAGGAAAGTTAAAAACAAAAAAGGACAGATAATATCATAGTGTGGTAAACATAGAAGGAGGTAGAGATCTGAGAATTGAAGTTTGAAGCTAGCCCAATGGGAAAAAAGCCTTTGAGAATCTTATTTCCAGTTAACCAGTAAAAAGCCAGAAGTGGAAGTGTTAGAGTTCTAGCCTTGGGCAAAATAAGCCCAATGAAAGTATTAGGCCTGAGTTCAAGCTCCAGCATCTACACACACACACACACACACACACACACACACAAACTACTAGGTCATATAACATTATATAAGGTAATAAATGTGTGTGCACATGATCATTATTTAAAGGTATATAGCTGTGAATTTGATCCAAAAATTGCATTTGAAAGGGCTTCTTTCCTTTCAGAACAATGCCTGGCACTTGTAAGTGCTCCTCAAATAAGTAAGTGTTGAAAGGCTGCCCACCATCAAGAAGATTAGAGTCAGAAATGAGGAAAAGGTAAATAACATAGGCTTCATAATAATGATGCTAGTCCAAATCAAATTTATAATGTGAATATGTTTACTATTAGGAACAAAACCTAAAAGTACTCCAAAAACAGTATCAGACTACCAGACTTTCATAGTACCTTAGTCATGCTAGGCAATGCTCATTGATTAAAAAATAAGTAGAAGAAGAAACAAAACAAAACTCAAACACTGATCTGGGAACCTGGGAGTCAAAAACAAAATATTGTTCTGTAATCTGTTTGTTAACTGCATGACCTGGGACAAATCTCTTGATCAGTTAATTTGAAAAACAGGAATGCTTCTAGGAGCACTGCCTGCCACACAGGTCAAGCCCAGGATGAGATTGTGCCCATTAGGGATGCTCTGTGAACTCAAATACAATCCTGGAGACAAAAGCAAGAGATTACCCAGTTGAAGTGGGTTTTGGGTCCTTTAAATGGCTTAATGAATAGTTATCAGGATTATATTTACCAAGAACTTTTCTCTCCAAAATTCTCCTTTTTAGATGCTTTCCTTTTTACCTCTTCTTTGAATCAGGTGGAAAGTCCATGAGAGTATAATCCTGTACGGTTTTGTGTAGCTACATGGTCATACTTGTTTGTGCATGTATAACAGGTATTCAGCAGATAGTTTGGAATGAAGAAAGGAAAAAACAAAGTAATCCTACAAGATGCCATCTTTACCCTTATGGACAATTAAGTTAGAGGCAACGAGATACACAAAATATCCTCGGATAACAGATCCTGTAGCAGGTGCCAAAGAAAGGGCTGTCACCGACACTCCAGCAAAAACCCACAAAAAACAAAACACATCCCTTCCTTTGAGAAACACCCGGACCCACCGAAGCATGAACAACTTGTCTCAGGAACATACAGGCAGGAAGACTCCCGGGTAGGGTCTGTTTCAGAAAAAAAAAAAAATCGACGTGAACTAGATTGGCAAAACCAATCTTTCTGGAGCTTAAAATTAAGTTGAGCTTGGTAGAAGAGGAACGTAAGATAGACCAAGATTTGGGGAACATACTTTGGATAGTTGGGAAAAATGTATAGGAATCTATGTTCCTCTGGAAATACTGCCAAGGTGAGGCGACCTTGAGTTTATGAGCACTGGAGGAAAGACCCGGTTTCCAGACAATACCTGTACATATTTGGTTTTCCTCCAGTTGAGGTGACAGTGGCGTGGGGGGGGTGAGGGAGGGGGGCCGGGAATAAAGGGACTAGAGCTGGTGGGTGGAGCCAGCGCGAGTAGGCGGAACCTCGCGGACAGCCGCCGTAGAGATTGGAGGCTGAACGAAGGGGGCGGGGTTTCCGGCGGCAGCTTACTCGGGTGTCGGGTGATGCCGGGGGCGGACGCCCCATCACGTGACACGGAAGTGACTCCGAACAGGAAGAGGACGAAAAAAATAACCGTCCGCGACGCCGAGTCAAACCGGACCCGCAGACACCATGAACAGCAAAGGCAAGCAAAGGGGGCGATTGAGGCCAGCTGGGGGAGTAGTGTTGGCCTGGAGTGAGCGGGTTCGGAGTCTCGGGCCACTACATGGCAGGCTTGGGGTGGACTGTGCCGCTCTCCGCGGCCGGCCGCAGTTCTGGGGCCTGCACCTGATGTCTTCGTCATCCCTAAACCACGGCTGGTCGCTCCGGCCCGGCCCTTGGGCTCTAAAACTCTGTGGCGCAGTTTGGAGCAGCGGACTCGGACGTGTGGGGGGGCCTTGCTGTGATGGGCACCTGCCAGAGCAAATAGGAAGCTAGAGCTGGGACTTGGGTAGGCCAATGGCGAGCCGGCAGAGGCGGGGCGCCGCGCTCCAGACAACAGGCAGGGCCGGGAGCTTAACTAGTGAGGTGCCGTCGCTGGTGGGCGGGCCGCGCGGCCTGCAAGATTACTTTAACCACCCGCCCCGGCCCTTTGCTGCATTACAGATCTTCTCTCGAGCCAGGCTAGAATGAATTTCTCCCCGTGCCCGCGATCGTGCCAGTTTATTTGTCAGCACTATCCCGTTCTCTCTGTCTCCGATCTCTCAGCTCACTCTACTCGCTTTTATCTGGAAGTCGACCTTGAATAGGACTCTGTGAGGTTAATAATTAGAACCACTGTTAGCTAGAGTCTGGGCAGGTTGCAGCTCAGCCAATAGAGACTGCCCCGAGCAGAAGCACCGTAGCTACATCAGCACCTTGGACATTCCAGAACTTCAGGATCAGGTCCCCAGATGGGTCCTGCATTCCGGAGACCGCTTGAGTCCACTTAGATTTTTCTCTTAACATCGGTATGCTAGTCAGAACAGCGCCTTTCCTGTCCCGTCACAACCCAGCACCTTCCTTTATAAGGCTATACACACAATGCCTTTTTTCTTGGCTCCAGAAATTAGGCCCTTTGGGGCAGTCTGTTTGCGATCTGCGTTCTCCCACCAAGTTAGGTATCCAGTATGTCTTGCTGCGTTTTGGTGGCTTTGTAATAATAGGCAACCTGCATTTACCCCCTTTGTATTTCAGGTCAATATCCAACGCAGCCAACCTACCCTGTGCAGCCTCCTGGGAATCCCGTATACCCTCAGACTTTGCAGCTTCCTCAGGCTCCACCCTATACTGATGCTCCACCTGCCTACTCAGAGGTACTTCCAGTTGGCCAAATTTGATCTAGTTGAAAATATACTTAGACCACAGTCCTTAGCTAAGTCTGACTTCACAAGCAGAAGAGTGCTTATATGAAAAATCTAAAGTATGAGTTGGGTACCATGGCTCATGCCTGTAATCTTAGTTACTCAGGATGCTGAGATCTGATGATTGAGGTTAAAAGCCAGGTCAGGCAAGAGAATGCAATTAGACTCTTTTGTCTCCAATTAACCAGCCAAAACTAGAAATGGAGCATGTGGCTCAAGTCGTAGAGTTCCAGCCTTGAGCAGAAAAGCCAAGGGACAGCATGAGGCCCTGAGTTCAAGCCCCAGCCCCAGCACAAAAAAAGAAAGAAAAGAAAAAACCTAAAAATTTATATAATTGGGCAATTTAATGTTATTGATCACAGGCAGAGATTAAGAAATTGAATTTGTGCATTTTCAGCCTAATATTAGCTTTATCAGGAAGTGATCCAGGAGAATACTAACACGCCGTGGGGAGGCAACTTGTAGAACTCACAAGAATTAAGAATTGAGTTATGAGTCAGGAAGTTGAGACAGGAGGATCAAGAATTCCAGGCTAGCCCTTCTCCCAAAAAACAAATAACAAAAAGAATGGACTCATTAAGGAAATTTCAGATAGGAATGTTATAAAGTAACATTTTTGCCTTCTCTTCTCTTTAGCTGTTTCGTCCAAATTTTGTGCACCCAGGGGCTGCCACAGTCCCCACCATGTCAGCTGCATTTCCTGGCGCCTCTCTGTATGTTCCTATGGCCCAGTCTGTAGCTGTTGGGCCTTTAGGTTCCACAATCCCGATGGCTTATTATCCAGTTGGTCCCATCTATCCTCCTGGCTCAACAGTGCTGGTAGAAGGAGGATATGATGCAGGAGCCAGATTTGGAGCTGGAGCGACTGCTGGCAACATTCCTGTGAGTATCACCTGGTCTTTGTCTAAAGTGACTTCATACTATTCTCCCACCATCCCTGAAACATAGCTGCTGGTATTTGTGTAACCAATGCCATGTCACAGGCAAAAAGTGATTCAAGAAACTGAAGTATGGTAGATGAATAGCACTTGACATGTAACTTGATTCCTTTGTTTCCCTGCCTTGTGAGTCTTGCTTACTGCTTCCCCAGTTTATTTTGGTAAAGTAAACTGGTGTGGTAATGATGATTAGTCATTCCATAAGCATGCTCTTAACATTTGCCATAAGCATGGTGTTGTGCTTAGAACCCAGATGATTTTTAAAAAAGTACAATGTTAACATTATGTGAAAATTGAACTACATAATTTGAAGGTAGAGACAGGATGGAGAAAGATGGGAGAGAAAGATGGAAGGGGTCACCATTGATTAAGATGCATTGTACTCATTACCTGACTTCTGAAATTGAAACGTCTTCATACAGCTAAACAAACAATTAAAAAAATAAAAAAGTAGAATGCATAATCTCTGGTAAATAGCTTCTAGGAAGGTAGGGATTTTGTTAGCATCTCCTGCTTAGTTCTCTAATACTTGGATTTAGAGCCCATAGCGTCCTTGATCAGGCCAGTATTCAGGAACCAGAATCCATGTTGCTGGGATGGTATCATTAGTGAGCATTTAGGAAATTTAGCGATTTACCTAAAAACAAGAGGGCTTAGTATGTTGCTCAGTGGTGGAGCATGTCTTTAGCACATGCAAAATACCTTCTTCCCCAACAAAACCCAAGAAACGCACTTAGGCATCCTGTGGGATTTGGCCCTGGACCTAGACCCTATTCTGATTTTGGGAATGTGAGTGGGAGTGACTTCCTACCCTAAAAAGGACAAGATGAAAGTCTAAGAGCCTCTGGATGCCAAAGCCTTGAGTGAGTGCTAGGCTTCCTTTCCTATTGTGTTACTGGGTTCAGGTCTGTCTGGTGACACAGTTAGTTCATCAGAGTGTTATTAAGATGGCAATGTGCCTATTAATAGGCACATTGCCATCTTAATAGACACTTTACTCCACACATAATCCCCTTCCCTTGTTCCAGCTGCCCTATGCCCATTCTACTTTGTCTTTTCCTTTCAGCCTCCGCCTCCTGGATGCCCTCCCAACGCTGCTCAGCTTGCAGTCATGCAGGGAGCCAATGTCCTTGTAACTCAGCGGAAGGGAAACTTCTTCATGGGGGGCTCCGATGGTGGCTACACCATCTGGTGAGGAAGCAAGGCCACCTCTGTGCCGGGAAAGACATCACATACCTTCAGCACTTCTCACAATGTAACTGCTTTAGTCATATTAACCTGAACTTGCAGTTTAGACACATGTTGTTGGGGTGTCTTTCTGGTGCCCAAAACTTTCAGGCACTTTTCAAATTTAATAAGGAACCATGTAATGGTAGCAGTACCTCCCTAAAGCATTTTGAGGTAGGGGAGGTATCCATTCATAAAATGAAGGTGGGTGAAGCAGCCCCAAGGATCTTCCTTTAATTCCTCTGGAGTAATACTGTACCATACTGGTCTTTGCTTTTAGTAATAAAATATCAAATTAGGTTTGAAGGAAACTTTGATCTTCCTAAGAATTGAAGTTGCCAAATTATTCTGATTGGTCTTTAATCTCCTTTAAGTCTTTTGATTTATCGTTCCTGTTCAATGAAACGCATTAGCTGTCTGCCTTTTCCATTCTCCGTCCCATGTGGCATCTCCATCCTGTCTTCCATCCCCCTCCAGCCAATCTCCATTGACTCAGTGGTGCAGGATAGAAAGGCAGTCAGATGGGTTTCCTTCTTTCCTTGCACTTTTCACACTTGCCATCTTTCAGCTCGTCTTTCACAAGGATCCTCTGAAGCCCCCATTTTCTTCTGTTTTTGTATCTCAGGCAAAAATGGAGGGTGCCTTTTGGACCTCCTCACAGGTTGTCTCTGCATACATGAACCCAACTGAAATTTGCTTTGGTGCCAGAAAAACTGAGCTTTGTTGAACCTAAGGATACCAGTGTAAACTATCCCATAAAAAAAGTTTAAAATACGATAGGCAAGAGCATGCATTTCAAAGCTTGACTTTAGAGCCAAATTAAGAGGTATTTCAGATCAGCAATTGGTTACCATTTTTGGTCAGTGACAGATGCAGCCAATCATGGCTCTCAATTCCTAAGCTGAGTGAATAGATCTGATGGTGAATGTCTCACTGTAAAGTGACTTGAGTCCAGTGAAATCTCTTAGGGTTAAGAACATTTCAGGGATCCTTAATATTTGATTTTTGTTTTCTGAAATTGGATTTTATTTTATCTTATAATTTCATCTAAATTTTGTGTTCTGTACATGTGGTGTTTGACTGTACCATTGACTGTTATGGAAGTTCAGCGTTGTATGTCTCTCTCTACACTGTGGTGCACTTAACTTGTGGATTTTTTATACTAAAAATGTAGAATAAAGACTATTTTGAAGATTTGAATAAAGTGATGAAGTTGCATTACACCTCACTCCAAGGATTCTTTATTTACTTGTTTTATTTCTTCTCCATATATCTTAATGTCCCACCTAGATACTCAGCAAGGTGCTGCTATTAGTATTTTCTTTAATAAAGGCTTTGAAATACATCCAGAAGTACAAGGCTAAGATTTGACTATTCCCATGAGTTTTTCTTTAGATAGTATATGTTTCTTTACTTTACCACCCAAACTCTTCCAGATTCTGAGATTCAGAACCTAATCTCAGGAGAAAAGGAAACAATTGGTTCTCCTCATTTGCTTTCAAGTTTAAATTGAGGAGAATGCCTTAGTGTAACATTTGTATACCTTCAGGGTGATCTTCAGTTTGTCTCTAGGGTTCTCTGAAAAATACTGGGACTTCTAGAGTCCAGGTTGCCAGATTGATTCCTCCACCTTTGGCCCTTACCTTGGGTGGGCTTGAACTTGGACAATAGGGAATACACAAAGACCTCAAAGGAAGTCTTAATTCCAAAGAAAATAGAGCAGCTAATAGCTAATAAGATTTATACCAAAGTATTACTCCTTTTAAGCACCTCTCCCTGTGTACATAAGGAATGGGAAAATTTGGGCCCTTGCTAGTATAGAGGCCAAATTAACTTATTTCCCAGAGTATGTTCCCGAAGATGGAGTCATGTTCCTGAAGATGCTCCCCTGGGTGAAGCCTCCTGGATCATCCTTCTCTTAAACTCCTAACATAGTTCTGGGAACGTGTGGAACTTCAGAGTTGTTGCTTGGGCAACATATATACAGAAGAGTTAAATAAGCGAAAGAAAATGTCAACGTGTAAGCAAAGATAAGTCCAAATGTAAACGTAGTTACTTTTTGCACCTGAAAATCTGGTTTCTGCATCAATGAAAAAGTTTAATTCGGATAAAAAATAGCATGAGGTTGTTGGGGAATATGGAAAGAAGGGCTCAGATTAAGAAATATAGCACATTTATCAGGAGGTAAGATCCCCAGTTTCCTCTCCTTGATGGCTTGGCCTTTTAGTATGCTATCCAGCCTGTAGGAAGAACTATGGATAGCTCCCTTAGGGATAGCGTAGGTATCCAGGAGAGGACAGAGTAGATCAAGCAACAAGCTCACTCTTTTTCCTCCCCTTTTAACCTGTAGAAGGCACATACTCAACTATTCCTTTGCTGGCTAGTCACAAATACCAGTGCTATTACAAAGGCCTGATTAATGGCATCATAAGCAGCTTTCTCCACATCCCGGGTCTCTGGAGTCAGTGATGCTGGCATTTGGACCTTTGTCCTACAAGGACCTTGGATTTGCCCACATTCACTGGCTTCTAATACAATTTCACCTAACACATTAAATAGTGTGAGTGCTGGAGCCATGAATTGGCTCCTTAGGTCTGGGAACTGTTAGATGAAATACTCTTCCTTTTCTCTGCTCTTAGTTGAGTCAGTCTCCATCTGGAGGATGGCGCTGGGCTCGCCTTCTGCAGGTTCATACGTCACGTAGGTGCCTTTGTTCTTGTACAGGTAAAAGAAGATCAAGATCACGACCGAGAGCAGGGTGAGGAAGACCACGGTGATAACAACTTGGAAAGGAGAGGGAAATGGAGACGGGTTTCAGGATTGGGGATGATTCAGGAATTCACTGGATCAACTGATGAGACCATTTCCTCACTTTTCATAGAGGCTCATGTTAATGAACTAGTATCTGCTTCCACATCTGTGTTCCTAGACCAAGCTCAGAGGCCATGCGATATGGTATCCAGACACCATGCTTTTGATTTCTAACACAACTTAACTCCTAAACCAGTTCCTGATGATGGAAATATGAAGGAGGGAAATGAAAAAAAGTAGCTTATCCTGTTAGATGAAGAGTACTTTTAAATCCATAGCTTCCTGTAGTGGTTGCTGATGCCCCTCTTCTTCCTCACCCCTCAACAAACCACATATATCCTCATCCCACTCACTCAAGTGTAATGTCCATATGCACCAATATCTTTTTTTTTTTTTTTTTGGTCGGAAGTGGGGCTTGAACTCTGGGCCTGGGCGCTGTCCCTGAACTCTTCAACTCAAGGCAAGCACTCTACCACTTGAGCCACAGTGCCACTTCCGGTTTTCCGGTGGTTAATTGGAGATAAAAGTCTCACAGACTTTCCTGCCCTGGCTGGCTTTGAACCATGATCCTCAGATCTCAGCTTCCTGAGTAGGCAAGAGCCACGGGCACCCGACACCAGTATCTTTTTTGTGGCTACCTTCCAACCTCTCATTTACTGGCCATGATTATAACTCTGTGTGTGTGTGTGTCCCAGTAATGGATGGGGTGTTTTCCATACTAGGGTTCCAGGCTGACCCTACAGCAAGATGGCCTCTGACCCTCCCCCTAAGAAAGGAGGGTATCCTTTGGATTTGGGGAAGAGCCCTTGTTACCTGCAATGAGTGCTGTGCTGGCTTCTTCCACTTCTGGAGACAAGGTTTCAGTAGTCTGAAGTATTGGGGTGGTCATCAGCTCTTCTGGAAAGTTTAGAAAAGCGGGGGGGAAATGGGTTGAAATTTGTCCTTCAAATTCCATCACCCACTGTCTTTCCTATTTAAAAGTGGTCATTACAGTAAATCCAAATAGGATAACCTAAAGAGCAGAGAAAATAAACTACTTCCCAAAGATGATTAACATCTGTTTAAGTAGTGGCTTTAAGCCTGACTATGTGAGCTGGGGAAAATAACCCGATTTCTCATCTGCAAATAGGCGCTGACTAGCTACTTCACTAGGGGTGATATAGTAAATAACTGTAGGATAAGTCATTGTTAGGGAAGCACATTTTTAAATAAATGAGATCAAATGATGTATGTGTGTTCAGCATACATAGTTAAGGTCATATGGCGTGTGTTACGTTTTCAGTGTTTTTACGTACTCTGTATGTTATGTATACATGTGCTGGTATTGTAGATTGAACTCAGGACTTCTCACTCTCACTTGGCTTTTTCGCTTAAGGCTGGTGTCTACCATTTGTACTACAGCTCAACTCTGGCTTTTTGCTGGCTAACTGGAGATAAGAGCCTCACAGGCTTTCCTGTTTGGCTGGTTCAAACTACAATCCTCTCAGATCTCAGCCTAGTAGCTAGGATTAGTGCCAAGTTCCTTACACACTCACTATTGGTGGCATTGGAGTTTTGAACTTAGGGCCTTCTGTTGTTTAGGCAAGTACTCTTACCACCTGCGCCACACCTCCAGCCCATAATTATTATTTTAAGATAGTAAAATAATATTCCTCCCTTTCCAAAGTCCTTTTTCTCTATTCCCAGGATAGGTTGTATACTTTGAATGGCAGGAACAAAGCCTTTGCTATCCTAAAATATATCCTGTACCCCTCCTGGGTAGGTCTATTTATCCTTCAGTGTCTGAAAGCTCTAGTTAAGGCCATTCATTACCCCGGACCAGAACAGTACAAAACTGTATTCTCCAAAGTCTCTTCTAAGTGTTTGCACAGGAAGTCAGAAAACTCTTCTTAATTAGCATTTGGATGTGATGGTTTGAAAAGGTAACAATTAACTAGAGGTCATTGGAGGCTAGAGGTGTCCTGGGGAAGACAGGCTGGCTGGCTTTGAAATCATTCAGCCCTGCTGTCCTGCTTACACTTTGCCAGGCAGACACCTTGGGAACAGAATAGAGGGCAGACAGGTTAATTCTGGGGGCATTTTCCTCCACCACATCCACAGATCTCACAACTCTGCACCTAAGAAAGTATGATGGAGAAAATACGCCTCACCCTGGGAAGAACATGTGCAGAGGGGCGTCTAGCTTTCTAGTCAGGAGTGACCTCCCGAGGAAGTAGTATTTGAATGAGAAGTGGGAGCAGGGTCAGAGTTTGTTGGGTGCCAAGAATAGGACACATTCTAAGCAGGGAGAAGAGCCTGGATGAAGGGACACAGTGGGAGCATGGCTCTTGTCCAGCGCCAAGACATACAGCAAGGGCAAAGGAAATGAAATCATCAGCATGCACAAGGCCCTGGGTTTGACCTCCAGCATCATCAAAACCCAACAACACCTAAAATTCATATAGTAGGTAACACATAAAATATCATTTAGGAACCGGGCGTGGTAGTACATACTTGTAATGCCAATCAGTACTCAGAAGACTGACTGTTAGTGATTAAAAGGGCAAGTTTGCTCTGACTTTGTATCCTGAACAGCATATTACTAGGTGACCTAGAGGAAGTGATAAACTCTCTCTGGACCTCAGTTTCTTTTCTTTTCTTTTTTTTTTGGGTCCGGTCGTGGGCCTGAACTCTGGGCCTGGGCACTATCTCTCAGCTCTTCAGCTCAAGGCTAGCGCTCTACCACTTGAGCCACATGCCACTTCTGGCTTTTTTTTTTCTGCTTATGTGGTGCTGAGGAATCGAACCCAGGGCCTCAGGCATGCAAGGCAAGCGCTCTACCACTGAGCCACCTTCCCAGCCCCCGAAGAGAATAATTTTTGTACTAAGGAGCATGAGGGGTTTGGAGACATGGGAAAATGAGCTCAAGAGAAGAGAAGCTGAGCCAGATATGGAGGTTCAGGCCTGGAATTCCAGCGTTTGACATCCTTAGGCAGGAGGATCATCAGTTTGAAGCCACCCAGGACTTCACAGCAAAACCTTGTTTCCAAAGAAAACAATACATAAAAAAACCACCAATAGAGCAAAACCTCAAACCTTTCCTTACAATTTA